CACACACACACACACACACACACACACACAAACACACACACACACACACCCCTCCTCTGGTAAGAAAACAGGTCCCAGGTGAAAGCCTTTATAGCCCCTCACACTCGTGTTTGGTAGAAAATGGAGGTGATGGGTTGGGATAACTAGGAGAAAGGAAGAATGATTTTCTTACCTCCTCCATCCCGCAAAGGTCGGGGGAGTCAGAGTGGGAGCCCTAGGGTTAAACAGTGTTGTGGGCAGAGTTCAGATGTCCTAGGAATCTCAGGGCTTTGCGCTGGGGGTGATTAGGGGCTCTCCAATGACAGTAAGTGTTAGGAAGATTTGCTTGAATGTAGATTTTAGATTGTGGAAGTTTTTAATTTTTTGTTTTTGTTTTTTGATGCTGGGAATTAGGTCCAGTTTTATAAATTACAAAAGATTATTGGACAGTCTGCAGGGCCCTGCTTGAGTGGAGTGGGAAATGCAAAATCTGACAACAGGCTAAAAAAAAGTTCTACAGGGCCTAAAAAACGTCCTACAGGGATTAGATAGACCAAAGTATTAAAAATTGTGATTATGTGAAACTAATCATAGCATTGTTCCTGTCCTCTTCTGCTCTACTCCCCAACATATGTCCCATAGGATCATACCACACTGTATTGGTCAGCTTCCACAGCTAGACTTCTTGGCTATCCAGATCTTCATGCCCCCTCCCCCTTTGCCACTCCTCAGCTGCAAGACTGGAACCTAGCCCTGTCATCTAGCTGGTCTGGCATCCTGCCTGGTTTCCGCCATCTTCTTGGGGAGTTGGCACAGATGCGCAATGGTATCCTGTTCTTTGGCCAATGGCTGGGGCCTTGCTGGGAATGGACTGGTTATTGGGAGAGCTGACTGCCTAACTCTAACTGGGTCCATGGGCCACCGTCTTCTGCCTAGGTTCACTGCAATACTGTGTCGCTAAGGCCTCTAGGCTATAAGTGCCTTCCTTCCCAGTCTAGCCTTGCTAAAACCCAGATTGCAGGCTGGAGAATCTGCCCAAGTAACAACAAAACTCACTGCCAAGTTGATACTGGCATCCTAAAGGATATTCTGGTCCCTTGATGTTTTTTCTGCTTTTTTTTTTTTAGTAGTTAATGAGACATGATTGGCCTCATAGGATGCAAAATCAGTTATGACTTCCTGTTTTACATTGCTGTGATATCTTTGGCCCTGTATCTCCTAGTAGCTGGCTAACAAGTAACAACAGCTTCTTCTAATTCTCCCTCTTCTCCTCCTCCTTCTTCTTCTCCTTGTTTATATTATGTCTAAGGGACACATGGATTTTTTTTTGGTAATCTTAATCTATCTCATTGGTGGTATTTTATAAAACTTTTTGAGTTTCATAGGTAGGGGAAAAATAGATAAATAAGATCACATTCAATGGAAAGAAAAGCTTCTGCACAGCAAAGGAAACAAATAACAGTGGAGGGATGACAAATTGATTGTGAGAAAATATTTGCAACCATGCATCAGATAAGGGGCTAATATCAAAAATATACAAGGAATGCAAAGTGCTCAAAAATAAGAAAACAAATATTCCAATTAAAAATGGGCAAAGGACCCGAACAGACATTTTCCCAAAGAAGACATACAGATATTTGAGAGAAAAGAAAATTAAAGCAACAGAGCTACCTCATCACTATTAGATTGGCTATTATCAAAAAGATGAGAGGTACCAGTGTTGGGGAGTCCTCTGCCCTGGGGGCCTGTGAGGTTAACATAGAGGAAAAAATGCCTGGTTTACTTAAAGGCTAAGTGATTCAGAGGTTGTTACAGGGTCAAGGCAAGAGGCAGAAATTTAGAGCAGGCAGCAGCAGGGGAACTAGTGATGAGTGGTCAGATATTAGGTGTAGTTTGAGAGTCCAGCTAACAGAATCTTCCTGACAAAAAGCACGTGGAGTGTAGGAGAAAAAGAGTTCCAGACTATAAGGCTTAGAAAGATGATATTGCTGTTGATTAGGATGGGGAAACCAGTGAGTGAGCAAAGGTTGGGATATGTTCAGTTGAAGGTTTTTACAGGCTGTCCACATGGAAAGGACTATTAGGCAGCTGAGTACAGGAGTCTGGGCCAGAGGGAAGAAATGTGGCCTGGACGTAGAAATTTGGCAATTACTACATATTGAAGAGTGGAGCACTCTCCAAAATTGAGATGTCAGGAGGGGAGGATGAACCAGATGAGAAGACTAGGGCGATGAAGATGGAAATCAAGAGGGTTCCGTGTCCTAGAAGCCAAGTGAAGAAAGAGTATCAACGAGGAGGGAGTGGCAGCCTGTTTAAATGCTACTGAGAAAGCAAGAACAGGTCCATTGAAATGAGCAACTTGGAGGACTGGAAGAGAGGTTGCCAGTGGAGTGGTGCAGGCAAAAGCTTGATGGAAATTTCTGTTTCAAAGAGAACTGGGAGGAAAGGGAGTGGGTGAGTCTAGACAATTTTTTCCCCAAGGAATTTTGCTATAAAAATGTGCAGAGAAACTGGGTGGAGAGAAATGTGATCAATAAGTGAAGTAAGTCAGGCACAGAAAGACTGGTATCATTCCCACTGACATGGAAACTAGAAAGTTGATTTCATAGAAGTAGTGGGTAGAATATTGATTATCAGAAGCTAAGGGTGTGAAGATGGGGTGTAGAGAGGACAGTTAGTTGGGGTTGGGCACAGGGTGCAGCTGGATGAGGGATAACTTCCGATGCTCTATAGCACAGTGGGCTAACTACAGTTAACAACAACTAATTATTTCAAAATAGGTGGTAGAGGAGATTTGAATGTTCCCAAAGCAGAGAAATGATGTTTGAGGTAATGGATATGCCAATTACCCTGATCTGATCAGTACACATTGTATACACGGATTGAAGCATCACATTGTACTCCACAAACATGTACAATCACTAGATGTCAAACAAAAACTTTACAAATAAAATTATTTTTGGAATGGGGATCAAACTCAGGACCTTGCACTTGCAAGACAGGCAATGGACCCATTGAGCTAAATCCCCAGCTCTAAAAATAAAATACTGTTAAAAAGAGAAAGTTTCTTTTAAGAAAGAAAAAAACGATGTTTATATGCCAATGGAAAGAACCCAGATTGGGAAGGTCAATGAGAGAGGGAGGGGGGAGGGGGAGGGAGTGAAGGGGAGGGAGAGAGAGAGAGAGAGAGAGAGAGAGACTGGAGAGATTTTTTTTTTTTAACCAGCCCTTAGATAAATAAGTGGAAGTACTAATTCTGAAATGGAGAGATTGACCTTGGAAAAGAACATGGGTAGTTCATCAATTTATAGTAACTCTGAATTGGACAATTTGTGGGCCTATGCATTAGGAAGAGAGCAGAAGGAGTAGTGGGTACCTGTGAAATTCTCTTCTGATTGTTTTAATTTTCTCAATAGGGTGGGAAGCAAGGCTTTCAGTAGTGAGGATGTGAAGAAAGTATTCAAAATGTGAGAATAAAGGAAAAGGTGCGATAGACATGCAGGAGAGTAAAACATGAATGGAGCCGGAAATACAGTATGTCTGCCACCTAGCACTAAGGGCTCAGTTGAGGCTTGTGATCCTGAATTTAATAAAATGGAGCAGTCAGACTGATTTGCATGTTTTCCTTCTGCAGGTTCTGAGTAGATGGAAAGTTGGATATAAATAGGATCGTGGATTGGCCAAGCCAGCATGAGAAAAGGAAAAAGGGGCCAGGGCTTTGAGGAGTTTTGGCTGGGAAAGGTGAGAAACAAGAACACCAGGGCTTGAGGGTGGTGAAGGGGATGTGGTTTGTGAATGAAATGGGGGTTCTACAGGCCATGGATGTGTTGAATTCAGTATACTAGGAAGAATGAGTTGGAAAGGCATGAAGAGGTGAATCAGACATGTGAATTGAGGTGGTGGAGGATTCAAGTTGGGGTGAATCACTGAAAGAGGGTGAACAACAGGATCACTGAGGAGAGCAGCTTGGGAACTGAGAGGCTAGATTATAGGGTGGGTTTCCTAATGCACACTTTAGGCCCTGAGATATAGGATGGAAAGAGAGATAGTGAAGCAGGAGCCAGAATAGCCAAAAATGAGTGTGAGAGGAGCCAAAAGTTAAATGACTTGGGGTTCCCCCTCTTTCTTTGGAACAGTTTGTGTGGTACTTGGATTGCTAGTTCCTTTAACGATGAGAAGATTCCAAATGAACAATTTCATTTTTAAAGGTTAATAAGCTATTTAAATTTTAAAAGCATTCATCTTTAGCTTAGATAATCTATATTTTCCTGGGATTAATGACCATTTTGTTGTAATTTTCAAATTTAGTGACATAAACTTGTTAAATGTTATAATTGCAAAAATATTTTCTTTCTTTAAGTCTCTTATTTTTATTCTCAAATTTTTATTTGTGCATTTCTCTTGAAATTGTCTATTGGCTTTTTTCAAAGAAACTATTTTTAGTTTTGATGATTCTCTTTAAATTTGACTTTCAATCTATTTCTTTTGTTGATCTCTGCATTGTGCTATTATTTCCATCTTTCCACCTTCTTTGTATTTATTCAGTGAGGGTATTATAATAATAGTAAATTATCTCAAACTTTGAGAATGTCTTTATTTCATCTAACTTTTGACCCAATAGTTTAGCTGGGTGTAGGATTTCAGTAGTCAATACATTGAAGATACTATTCCATTGTTTTCTTCTCTTATGTTATTGCAAAGTCTGTTAACAAAATTACCATTTTTTAAAATAAAGATTCTTGGGCCAGGGATTTAGCTCAGTGGCACTGTGCCTGTCTCACAAGCGCAAGGTCCTGAGTTTGAGCCCCACTACCAATAAATAAATAAATAAATAAATAAATAAATAAATAAATAAAATAGAGATTCTTTTAATAGATTTTTTTCTGTCTCAAGATTTTCCTCTCTTACTATGCTATACCTAAGGATGCTTTCCTTTTGATTTATGTTGTAATTTCTGAAATAATTAGTGATTTTCATTACTTCTGAAAACTTTTCAGGTTTCTTTTTTTTTTTTTTGACAAAAAACCTTTTTATGGGGCCAGGGATTTAGCTCAGTGGTTCTGCTGCCTGCCTTGAAGCCCAAGGTCCTGAGTTTGATCCCCATACCAAAAAAAAAACCCAAACATTTTTATTGAGATATATTCCACATACCATAAAGTTCAACTATTCAAAGTGCTCTCTCTAATGGTTTTAGAATGTTCACAAAGTTATACAACTATTGCCATTAATTATGTTTTTCTTTGTTTTGCAGCACTGGTGATGGAGCCCAGGGCCTTATGTACAATTGGCAAGTGCTCTACCATGGAGCTACACAGCAGGTCCATTCATTATTTTTTTTATTTTTTATTTTTAGACAGGGTCTCACTATGTAGTGCAGGCTGATCTTAAACTCATTATGTAGCCCATGCTGGCCTTGAACTTGTGGGCATCTGCCTGACTCAGCCTCCCAAGTGCTGGGATTATAGGCATGCACCACTATGCCCTGGCATTATCTTTTGAATATTGTTTTCTATCATTAATTTTGTTCTCTCTTTCTGCCAATCCTTTTAAACATATATTGGGCTGTTGAAGTTTGCAGAAGCCTAACATTTAACACCTTTTTTCTTTAATGAGAGTCAAAATTAATTGAGAGTTAAAGGAAAATTAAAGTAAATTAAAATTTTAATTTAAAGAAATTAGATGAAAGTAAAAAGAACAGCTTTCTTGCTAATAAATGCTGGATTTAAGAATGTGGTTTAGATGGGTGGCAACTACAGATCTCTCAAGAGTAAATCCTAGATTAGAATTACCCATGCCCTCTGCTGAAGGCAGCATGGAATAACCATGTTCTCCCCACATGGAGGTTGCCCCTGTGGCAAGTATGGCCCAGAGCTCTAGACCAGAAAGCACATTCCCTTTGGGTGGACTGGGTCCCAGGAAAGGGGCAGGAGACAGGGTCCCACTGCACCCCAACTCACAGATAAGAGAAGGCAGTTGGCAGAAGGAAGTTACAGTGACGGTGTCTCTCTACATGCGGGCAGACCTACCCAGAATATTTTTATGAAGCAAACACAATTCTGCTGCCAAACCCATCAAAAGTAAACAAACAAAAACTGCACACATTTTGAAATACAGAAATTTGTGGAAACAGGGCTGGGTGTGTGGCTTAGTGTCTTAACATGTGAGACCCTGGGTTCCATTCCTGCCACTGAAAATAAAAGCAAAACCACACAAAAACAGCAATGATAAAACTGGGAGAACAGAACTGAACATTATATATTGACTATAAAAAACAACTACAAGAAATATAGTTATCCAAAAATTCAGGAGTATTATAATTTTAAAGAAATATACTAAATATGGTGTATATATATGTATATATGTATAATTTTGTCTTGTTTTTGATGCTGCAGATTGAATCCAGGACACTATGCATGCTAAGCATGTACTCTATGATTGAGCTACACTCCCATAATTGTATTATTAACAAGAATCACTAAGAGAGATTATGATCATATTAATAAATACTCAAGTAACAGCACTAAAGGACAATTAAAGAAGGATACTTCCTTAAGCCAGTATCCAAAGTTATATAGATACATTTGATACACTCACTTGAAAATTCAGAACAGTGTTGGCCTCAAAAATATTATCATTTAAAAAATTTTTGGACAATAGAAGATGAGATAAATAAATATATCAAATAATCAGTCAAAATACTTTTGATAGATGATTAAGAAAAGACAAAGGAAATAACTAGAATCTGCTTTGAAGTGAAGAGTAAATGTTAATTATCCTAAAATTAATGTGTAATTTTAACAAATTGCACTTTAAAATCCAATACAATTTTCCTCAAAGCTCTGAGATTTTTTTTTTTTTTTGTACCAGGGATTGAACTCAGCACTTCGCACTTGCCAGGCAGGTGCTGCGCCATTGAGCTACATCCCTGGCCCTTGTTCTGAGATTTTTAATAAGATTGATAAAAAATCTAAATGAGTAGGGCCGGGGATGTAGCTCAGTGGCACCACACCTGCCTGGCAAGTGCAAGATCCTGAGGTCAATCCTCAGTACCAAGAAAAAAAATTTAAATGGGTAGGAATATCAAATGATATTTTGAAAAAGGAGTTATGGGGATTGTCAGCTTTGAAAATATACTGTTGAAAACAACAATAATTAATAGCATCCAAGTACTGAAGAAATACTAAACATAGCTATCAATTAAATAGAGCAGAAATCTGAGGAATAAATCTTGCCATACATCAGAATGTAATATGTGATATAAAAGTTATAACCAAAGAGTAGTATAATGGAATAAATCCTCTTGGGATAGCTGATTACTGTATTGTGGGGGAATTTAGGCATGCATTCACCCCTGCACCTCTCCTGGTTAAGTATAACTAAAGAATTGAGCTAAAAACAGAACAAAAAAAAAAATCACGGAAAAAACCCCTAAGTATGAACGAGTATTTCATACTCCTTGGAAGGGGATAACATTGGCTGATTTGAAGGGACAGAAGGAGCCACAGAGAAACACTGAGATTTACCCCTAGCTAAACAGTTTATACTTTCTACAAAATTAATTAAAATGAGGAGACATGGGGAAATATATTTGTAGTAAGAGCGGGCATACTCATCCCCCAACTAGAAATAGAGTTAATACATATAACCATATAAAGGGCTGCCTCAGAGTGGAAAAATAACTTGTGGTATATTCATATGGTGGAATTCAATTTAGCCATTAAAACGAATGAATTGGATCTATGCTATGCCAAAATGTATAATACTGAGTCTAAAAAGACCAAGATGCAGAATGCTAAGTTTAGACTATTATTTGTAGTATAAAATTTAGAAACTCAAAAGTCATTACTCTGTGTACAGATGTGTGTGATGACCAAAAATATGAAAAATGTGGAAGGGAACTGTAAATGAGGAGTGGGGAGTAGGAGCTGGAAAAGTTCTAAAGGAGCTTTAAATGTGTTATTTTTCTGTATGCCCAAAATATTCTATACTTTAAAGAATACTTATAAATTGCTAATAAAAATGATATAATAAATATATATATATGTGAAAACAACACAAACAATTCAGAGGAGAAGAAATACATATATAAAAAGATGCATAGCTTCCTTAGCAGTCAGAGAAGTTAAGATTAAAATGAAACACTAATCAATCACCTGTAATAAAAATTGGTGAAAAGAACTTATGTGGCATAGGGAATCTTACATTTTCAGAGGAGAACGCATGGCCATCTATTGCAAGAACATCAAACAATAGGGGATTCTTCGCTTGTCCTTTTCGTCTCTTCACAGTTAAGTCCTCACACACCATGACTTGAATCTCAGGGGAGATTTTTCTTTTAAAGAACATCAAACTTCCAGATATAGACTTGTGAAAGTAGCTAAGGAGTGTCTCACCCTAAATGTTTCCCAAATAACTAACTCTTAATCCTTAAATGTTCCTCAAATAAAACTCCTAATTCTCAAATAGCAACCAAATCCTCAGGCTTTGGTTAGAACATTCAAGTCGATTCATAATCCTCCAAATCAAATCCAGACCTTTGTTGAGATCCACCTCCCATCTCCAGTTCACCAATCAGTGTGTGGAAAACACACACACACGCACACACACACACAAGCACGTGTGACCCCCCCCCCAGAGTTCACTTGTGGTTTTTGTTTTTAAGAGCTTGTCAGTTAAGACAGGGGTTTGTCTTTTGTGAGCGAACCCGCTTTCCATACGCCAGGGATGGACCGGAACCCCCAGCAGCTGTCATAAACACTTGGCCTTTTCCATTTGTTTGTAAAGAGAATGGTGGGGGGCATCAGTGGACTAGAGATGTTGAAGCAGTGGGAGGCATTTTTTATTTTTGTGTTTTCACAAGGGACTCTTAAATATATTGAATTTCTGGCTCTCCTCAGTTCCTAAAGCTGTTTCTTTCAGACTCCAGTCTATGAGCCTTTTTATTCACCCCCACTTCTCCTACCTCCCCGCCCCACCCCCAGCTCCTCCGTGGTGGCTAAGAAGAGAGACAGTAAAGAAAATGTTGTACTTCCTTTCAGAATGTAAATATTTGAGTTCAGGAGTAAACAGAGATGTGTTTGTGTGACAGTTCGCACCAATTCATGCCTAGTGGTGACTTCAAACTAAAATAAAAGGGAAATTGGCAGTTTGCAGGTTCAAAGATGTTTAAGAGAATGCCCAGAATCTAGTGATTTAGTGTGTGTGTGTGGGGGGGAGTGTGGGAGTAGGGAGAAAAAGAAAAAAAAGGTTGGGGGAGGACCTAACACACCAGAAGGTAAGAAGGAGTCCTCTGGAGCTCAGGTGGGCTGAAACATGAGCTCAGGGCAAGTGCTTGCTTTACTTATCTGAAGCCAGTTTGGCTCAGGCAAGGGCACCATGGGAACAAACCTGAGCCAACGCCACTAGAGGCTGCCCCACATACCCAGTGCTGTTCTAAGGACTTTCCATGGATTCAGTCTTCCCAAACATTTAAGATGAGACAGCAGCCCCACTCCCACATTACAGCCCGAAAGACAAAGGCCCAGAGAGATTCCATTACTTGCTCAAGACCACACAGCTAGGAAGTAACAGAGCTGGACTCTTACCAGGCATTCTAGTTAGAAGCCACCCTGTAAGTTCCTATGCTCTAGTCAAGTGCCAAATACTTGATTGGAAACCAGATGGGAAGAGAGGACAAGACAATTAAGCTGACTGCTCTTGGTGAATCACTCCCAGGTGTCTTGCCGTGCAGAGCGGGGATTCACACTGAAGGAAGGAGCTGTGGGCTGCACAGCTGAGTAAAGCTTAGACTCATCCCTGGGCCCTCCAGCCCTCCCTCAGGGCCTTTCGGAGACAGATAGGCTCAGCTGCACTCAAGGCAGGATGGAGTGCTGGATCTGTCAGACTGGCCCGTGAAGAACCTACTGTTAAATTTTCAGGAATATTTTAAACATAATCTTTTCACCTTGGAATAGTTTTAGATCTACAGAAAAATTACAAAGGTAGTACAAACAGTTCCCATGTGGTTCTGCATGCAGTTTCTTCTGCTATCAACATCTAACATTAGTGTGATAGTTTTATAATTAATAAACCCATAGTGTTACATTGTTATTACGTTAAAGAAAATCCATGCTTTATTCAGTCTCACTAGTTTTTTTACCTAGTCCCTTTTTCTGATCCAGCACTCCATCCTGGATATCACAATACATTTAGTTATTGTTTTTCCTTAGGCTGCAACAGCATTTTAGGTTTACTTGTTTTTGGTGACCTTGACAATTTTGAGGAGTGCTAGTCAGTATTTTATAGGAGTCTGTCAATTGAGATTTATGTTTTTCTCATCATTAGACCTGAGTTATGTGTTTTGGGGATGAAGACTCCAGAGGCGAGGGGCCAGCACTATCACCTTGTGTCAAGGGAACACGTACCAATGTGACCTGTCACTGCGGAGACCTGGCAGAGGCAGCACTTGTCAGCTTTCCTCACGGTGAAGTTACTCATTTTCCCCACGCTGCACTCTTTCAAAGCAAGTCATTAAGCATAGCCCACACTTAGGGAAAATAATCCGGAATTTTATTAGCCTGTTGTTAACCCTTTGGTAGCTTGAAATTTGCCATGGCGGGATTTTGTCTCTTGGAAATAAGACAACTCTACAAATCTGGGCTCTTCTGGAGAGGAGGTTTTCTGGCCCACCTTGAATGTGTGGATTCCCAAGAGATGAGAGTGGACAGGTGGAAGGGCCTTTGAATCAAGAGGCTCACGGGGTGCAGGTAAAAGCTGGGGGCAGGAGTGGGTGTGGTGTGTTTGGAGGACATGGATTTAGGTAAAAGAGGCACGACAGACACGCAAGTCCTTGGGAACCTGACAGAAGCCATTCTCCAAAAGGCTTTAATTTAAGTAGAACTGGGGTCTTGCTGGACTTACTTTTGTTTTTTTCCCTTTTATAGTAGTAATAACTACCATTTATTGAGCACCTCTTGTTTATGCATGTTTTTAATGTATATAATTCCATCCAATCTTCACAGACTGTTTAGGGTGAGGTGTCAACTTGATTGGCTGGGGGGACTAGTGGAGCTCACTTTTAGGTGTGTCATGGAGGTGTGACCTTGGGTACTAGACATGGTCATGGGTCTGCTTCCTCTTGGCACTGTTCCCCTGCTTTACTTTCCAGGAACCATAAACTATGCAACTTTGCTCTGCCATATCCTTCTACCATGAAGTTTCGGCCTCGGAGCCAGCTGACCATGGACTGAACCTCCTGAAAATGTGAGCCAAATTAAACCTTTCCTCCTTTAAATTGTAGGTATCTGGTATTGTGTTCAGCAACTAGAAAGCTAATACACAGACCTACAGCATGTGTATTGTTATCCCCATTTACAGATATTAAACATAGAGGTCAAGTGACTTATTCAGCCATGCTGTTCTCTCTATTTCATTTACCTCCTCCTTCCTGGAGCATGGGTTACTGGCTAGATCTGTTTCAAGAGATTGGAACAGTGATTGATGGTGAATGTCCAAGACTTGACTAGGGATGAGATTGGGCTGTTGTTTGCTGCTCAGGATGGTCTGTCTGTGCTCATGGAAGCTCACAAGAACGGGACAGGCCCCACTCTGCAGACTCCAGGGGTTTCACATAAAGTCCGGCATACCAGACTGCCATTTTACCATCCCTCCAAACCATAATTTCCTTCCTAATAATAATTTTCTTTATTCTTTTTCCTTGGGTATATTATTAAGGAAGAAGAAATTATGACATCCTTAAACTTTGTATCTTGATTGAACTCTGTGGTGTCTTTGTGATTTAATTTGATGCATAACTTCAATTCTTTCCAAAGCAATTTTAAAGAAACAGTCTTTAAAAGCTCAACACTAGAATTAACCATTAGGGTTTTGGTTAACTCTATAAAACTGTACAATCTGCATGCATATTGAATAAATGTATATAAAAATACAAGGTATTTCATTTAAAAATCCCAAGCATAAAAATCATTTACAGTTCATATAATATTTCAAGGCAAATGAAGTGCTACTTACTCTGTTTCCATTTGAGTCATTCATGAAGTTTAAAGATATTTTAGGATAAATAATCTTAATGAAACAATAGAAAGTTAGAATGAGACTTGCTTGAATCATAAAGAATATTGATTGTATTGCTTTAGACATCAGTTACTATTTTCAACTAAGACTTCATTGGTTTTATTAAGGTCTGAGCAATATTAGGGACTATCATTAAATGATAATAATGCTATTTTGATTTTCTTCCTCTCAAATCATTGAGACTTTTAAAATAGTACAACTGGAGGTGGGCTGGTGCAAGAATTGTATTCATTTTATTTTATTTGGTCCACTTTCCTCTCTCCTCCTGGAATCTCCTCTATACCCAACTATCTCTTTTATCCAGAGATCTGGTCTGAGATGATTGGACCATGTACAGACACCTGGCCAAAGGGAAGTCAGTTTCTGGACTACCTGGGCCAGTCCCCCTCCTGAGAGCATTTACCTTGGGAGAAAGAGAAACTAAGACAACCTGTAGATGAATCATGAAGAACTCAAGGTCATACAGAGTCAGGGTGGGAGTCAGTCTGTGTGCAAATTGAAGTCATGAGATCATAGGAAGCAGCAGAAGCTGCTCAGTGGAGAGAAATGGGAGAACAGAGTCAAGGCTCAGAAAGATCCAGGATGTGAGGGGAGTAGTGGAGCCCAGTTCCTTATTTCCCACTCCAGACCTTTATGGTCAGATGACACTGGCTTTCTGACCCTTGATGCTTGATAGGTCACTTGTTATTCATTTTACAAAGCTTCCTAGATGGGTTTCTCTCCCAACACAACTGATTGCAGACTAAGACAATTCTACACCACATGTCAAGTACAGGCTACAAAATAGTTTGCTACTCTTCAGCATCACACCAAGTCACCCAGACTTCAGTGGTCTATAGGCCAACATAAGGATGGCTTTAGGGACAGGCAAGTTAGAGAAAGTGAATATGTTAGAAGCTTGTCCATGTATTATAGTTTATAAATGCCTGATATCCAGTGTGACATTTGCTGACAGCATTTCCCATTCTTTTTCACCTGAAACCTTGAAAGCCAGTGAGTCTGTTCTGCCAAGATCAGGGCTCAGCCTTCTCAACATAGTCACTTCCAAGTCATGACAGGTGATGGCAGAACTTTCTAAGGATGCCTGAACTAGAAGTTTATTCATTTGGTAAATTTTTTTGGCAGCTTGCTATGGTGAGGCTCTGTGCAAGGTGCTAGGAATACAGCAGCAAGCTAAACAGTGAATCTCTTACCTGCATGGAATCATGTCTTGGGTGGGAGGCACTCATGATGAGCACTGAATAAGCAGGACAGTCCTGGAGAACAACTCGTGATGGTAGGGCTGACTGAGGATCAGCCTCAATGGGCTGCTCAAGGAAGACCTCTCCAAAGAAAAACAGGAAATGGCATTCCCAAAACCCTTTCAGGATAGAGAATGTGGAGCGATCTAAGGATTGAAAAAAGGCACAGTCTATGGAGTAGATGGCATCTCCCACATGCACCCCTTGGTGCCTGCTGTCCCAGATGATTTTCCTCTTTTTGGAAGTATCAGTCTTATCTAATGATTTGTGCCTAAATCTTTTGGTTGGAGATCCACAATTTCTCTCCCCTTCTAACTCTTCCTCTCTTCTGTCCTACAGTTGCTGGTCCTCTCCATCACCATCCAGACTATTGTGGCCACTTTCTATGTGGGCAGCAATTCTGTTCTGTGTGCTGCTGTAGTTCACCATCTAGTGTCTGGCATCATTCATCAGGATATATTTGCGAATGCATGAATAAAATGTTCAGTCCACTTTTCGCTCCACCTCTCGCATCCCCATTTTGCAGGCTACTGTCGGGATTATTGCGTGAAAACAGAATCCAATTGTATCAACAACCTACAAATCCTCTGGTGATTGATCTCCACTGCCAAAAAGTCAAGACCCTCAAAATAGTCTTTACAGGTCTTTAGAATTTGATCCCGATCTGCCATTGTGGCTCATCTCCTGAATGCTAAATGCAGTCACTTAGAAATACCATCTCCTGGTGATATCAAGAGCTCCTTTTGCTGTCCCTTTGGGATTGCCCACCTGCCACCCTGCTGGTCAGGCCAGATGTTCCCCATTCTTCAAACCCTAGCTCAAATATCACCCTCTCATGTGACCTTCTCTTGTTAAGGCAAGAACCATTCCAACTGAGCTCAGCACACCTTGTTCATATTGCTTCTGAGGCCCACCCCATGTATTACCTATTAGTTGGCCTATGTCTGTCTCTCTGGAGAGATGGTCTCTCCCTTGACACCCCGAGGTCACATGAGCTACATCTTATTCATTTATCTTTGATTCCCCAGTTGTTAACATGGAAGCATGTGTGAAATTTGTAATGAGAGGTAAAATCTACTGACTGCATGCAATGTGCCAGATATTTAACACTGCCACCTCTTTCATCCTCAAAATAATTCTCAGAGGTAGGTCATAGTATGGTTCTTATTTTACAACTGAGGAAACTGAGGCTCAGAGAAGTTAAATGCTTTGCCTGGAGTTGCACAGGTAGTAGAACCATAACACATGTAACACTCCAGACTCAGTCCTGACTGCCTACTGGAATGCCCAAGGAGCTGTGAAGAACCTCTGGTGTCTGAGCCTCATTCCAGAACAGCTGGGCCACTGAGGTAATGACCTGGGCCATAGACATAAATCAAGACCCCCCAGGGCTGAGAACTCTGGTGAGAAAGAAGCATCACCTGGATTATTTGTTAAGTAGATGGATCACTGCACTTCTCTTCCAGAACATGCGGTTTCCATAGATTAGCACTGAAGCCTAGAGATTTGTGGTTTAACTCTTGGTGATTCTCATTGTTTTATTCCTTTTATTTGTGGGGCCTTCACACCCAGCTATATCTTCAGTTTTTTAAAATTTTATTTTATTTTTGTTTTGAGACAGGGTCTTACTAAGTCACCAAGTTGCCCAGGATAGGTTTGAACCTGTGATCCTCCTGCACCAGTCTCCCAGAGTGCTGGGATTATAGAACTGCACCATCACACCTGACTTGTGATTCTCATCTTAAAGGAAGTTTGGTAATACTGCTAAAGAGCAGGATTGAAAGTCATTTAAGTAGGGCTTTAGACATTAACCTTCAGGGTCTGATTGAAAAATATAGCAAATGTTTAAATTAAAGATATTTTATCATAGTAGAAAACACATTGCTACTAACTGCCCTCAGAAATACTGCCCCCCCCCCACACTTTGAACACACTTATCCCACCATTCTTGCTACTTTCTGAAGCAGTTCTGGAAGTCCTCTTTTGTGAGTGTCTTTAATGGTACTTGTGGCTGCCTTGATGTCCTGAATGGATTCAGAATGTTTACCTTTCATAATTATTTTGACTTTGGGGAAGAGCCAGAAGTCGCACACTGCCGGATCCAGTGAATAAGGTGGATGAGGGTACACTGTAATATTTTCAGGAGCCTGCCTTTCCATTGGGTGACACTGAGCAGCAGCATTCCTCATAAAGATACTCACAAAAGAGGAATTCCAGAACTGTTTCAGAAAGTGGCAAGAACAATAAATGTATTTGAAGCAAGAGGAAATGTTTCAGTGATGTATCTTTTATTTTAATACATTTTTCTAAAATTTAAATATTCAGTACACATTTTCATGATACCTCCTACCTTGCCTATCAGTGATGGTATGGAGACACTGGGAAGATCTGGGGCTGTGTGCTCATGTGGATGAACTTTCAGACCATGAGCAGCACAGTGAGTCCCACTGCTTCAGGGACACTAAGCTGGAATAGCTGACAGCACCATAGAAGCATATAGCTGTAATTTGTTTCTTGATAGTGCCTAACCCCAACATTTCACCAGGACTTGTCTTGAGCATTCTACATACTGTGGCAACAAACTAGAGGAGCAGCCTTGTGGCTTCTTAAGTGTAGAAGGGGACAATGCAGACAGGCACCAGGTAAGCTCTGGCTGAGGCCTCCCCCACCTCCTCCCTTGGGGCTTCCTGAGCTTTGCCCCACTGCAGCCCCTATGATGAAGCAGTTAATGAAGCCAGACTCCTGTCACTGCCTCCATCTCCTTCAGCAGATTCACTGAGTGTCTGATGGAAGGCTGGTCCTTTGCCTGTCCCTGCCTCCCAAAGGGTTGACTCTGGGCTCCTTTTGAGGAGCCTTATCACTGGCTCTCTGAAATCTGGCCAGCTGGTTTCTGAGTGATTTTATGGTCATCATTTGATCAGCCCTGTT